TGATGGATGGCATGATAATGTGTAACACAATTATTGATTGGGATAATTAAGAAATAATTCAATCAAACAACCGATACAATTTCATGAATCATTTGAGGCTGAGAGCGAAGGGTGGTGGCTGGGTTTTTATAGCAACATTTTTAGAAGAAGATTGGTGTGATAGGCCAAGGAAGCAGTTAATAGTTAACAATTAAAATTATTTATCTTATTTAGGAAATAATGTTACGATACCTTCTTAAAAAAATCCTCATCAAGAAAATTGGGAGGTTGAATTCGGGCACAAAAAGGGCAATAATCGTGAACTTCTAAAGATTTTTTGTAAGACTGTAAGAGCCATTTTCAGGGATTCTTTAAAAATATGAGAAGGACAATCCAAGCCATAATAGTGGGTTTTTCGATACTTTTTTCAAGAACGACCTAAGATTAAATCGCCGTTTTTTACCTTTTTGTTGAAGACAATCAGAGCAGATAATGAAGCCACCACACGATTTTGAAGTTAAAAAGTCGGGTCATAGCTTTTTTTTCTTATTTTAAATAGAGTAATACGAATTACAAATGGCATATTCGGATTATTATTATTACAAATTAAGTAATTCGAATTTCAAATAAAATCGAATTTCAAAAATTTTTGAAAATATAGTTGGTGGTCCTTGGGCGAGGATATGCCTCTATTTTGTGGTCTTTGGTTGTAGGACTGTAAGAGCCATTTTCATGGATTCTTTAAACATATGTGAAGATCAATCCAACCCATAAAAGGTTTTTTCCCGATACTTTTTTAAAGAACGACTTTTTTTAAGACAACCCTAGTATATAATAAAGCCATCACACGATTTTGGAATGTAATAATCGGATCATTGATTTTTTATTTTGCAATTTTAAATGGAGTAATACGAATTACAAATGGCCTTATCGGAATTACAAATGAAGTAATTGGAATTTCAAATAAAATCGAATTTTAATAATTTCAGGAAAATATAGTTGAAGAATACGGACTAGAAGGTATCCTTCCCTGGTGGTGTTTACAAGTTTCCAAGTTTTCAATGTTTCTACTCTTTGCCGGAATTTTTTTCTTGAGTTCCATTTTCGGGGTTTCCTTAAAAATATGTGAAGAACAATCCAAGCCATAATAGAGGGATTTTTTCGATACTTTTTTAAAAGAACGACCCAAGATTTAACCGCCGGTTTTTACCTTTTTTTTTTTGAAGACAACCTGAGTAGATCCTGAGTAGGTATCGAACGATTTTGAAATGTAAAATCGGATTTTTTATTTTTCAATTTTAAATGGAGTAATACGAATTACAAATGGCCTTTTCGGAATTACAAATTAAGTAATTCGAATTTCAAATAAAATCGAATTTTCAAAATTCAATGAAAATATAATTGAAGAAAACTGACCAGAAGGTATCCTTCCCTTGAGAGGTGTTTACAAGTTTACAATGTCTCTACTTTTTGCCGAAATTTTGTCCTGAGTCCCAAGTTTGTTTTTTGCCTAAACTCTACCATTTTTTTACAATACAAATTTCTTTGGTCCTAGAGGAAGTACATATATGCCCCTATTTTGTGGTTTTTGGTTCTAGAGAAAGGATATGCTACTAGTTTGCCACTCTCAAGTCTACATCTGTATACTACACATATATCTACACATGTTGATCTCTAAGCGGAAGAAAATTCGGTATTAGAAAAACAACGAATTGAGCTTAGGCTAAAAATTGGTTCTGAGAACAACATTTCGCAAAGAGTACAAACATACCCTGAAAACAACCATCAAGAGAACTTCACGTTCTTGGCCATTGTTCCCAACTTTAGTTTCCTTTAATCAAACTAATTTGCATGCAAACATATATTTCTTTCGAAAAAATACACCAGTCTCACCTGTCAGAAACTAAGCTAATTTTCATATGAATTTGACTTAAAATTTCACATTTAAATAAAAAAAAAAATAAACAACAAAAAAGTTTTAATTTTTTCTTTGCCAGAATAAAATTTACGTTAACTATTTTTTTATGAATGGCTAGGAAGGGCCAAGCAAACACCCACCCAACACCCCTATTTAAGCAGCAGCCAACCATCCATCAGCATCCAACTATTTTGCCTAGCATTTGATTTACAAAAAACAATCAGCCAACACTGGCTGCCGCCATTGTCATGGTCTAGCTTGGACCCACACACACACATACACGCATAACGATTTAAACCGACTTTCCTATAACTTTCAGACGGAGTTGTTGGTGTTTTTGTTTTCCGTTGCAGGCAAAAATCCTGATGCCATGATTTCCCATGCATAAATGTGTGTCTGTGTTTGTATGTGTGTGCGGGAGGTATAAAGTTTATGTGAAACGTTTAAGCGCACTGACTGACTGCTGTGGTTATTCATTTTTTGTTTCATCGTCTCTTTACCGGCATTTTATACTGAAGTGCTGTGTTTTATTTATGAATGAATTGTTGTCGAGTTATTTTCAATGTGAGCTGCTGGCCGGAGTGCAGGGAGAGGGGGTAGGCAACAGCAACAGAATTAAACTGTTCGAAACTTTAGCCAAAGTGAGTTGTTGCATTAAACGCAACTCGATTCTGGAGTAAATGTTTAATGGGTGAAAATTTGTTGTGGGAATTTTCGAAGGATTATCGAGGACTTAGTTGGGGATTTTCAGAACAATATACAAAATTATAAAATTATATTGGTTATATTTAGAGGGTGAGATGAAAAAACTGCAACCAACTTCAGACTGATGTCATTTCTAAGCCACTCGTTTTTTTAAGGAAAAAATTTTAAATCATTCAAAAACTTCCTAAAAATCCAATTAAAAAATGTTCATATGAATGAAAAATAAAATAATCTTGGATTTTTAGGAAGTTTTTGAAGGAGCTAAAATCTGGATTTTTCCTACAAAAAATAAGAATAATTCCAGTAGTCTAATTTTTATAGTATTTTTTCCAGAAGCATAACAGTAGATTTTTTAAAATAATTTTTAAGCTCTATTAAATAGAAATTTGTTGGTTTATTAGGAATTATTTTTTGAAAGAATCTTTAGTTTGTTTATTATTTTTTTTGCGGGAATATGGATTTTTCCTACAAAAAATTAGGATAATTCCAGTAGTCTAATTTTTATAGTATTTTTTTCCAAAAGCATAACAGTAGATTTTTTTAAATAATTATTCAAGCTCTATTAAATAGAAATTTGTTGGGAATTAGGAATTAATTTTTGAAAGGACCTCCAGTTTGTTTTTTAATTTTTTTTGCGGGAAATTCGAGTGAACTTTTTAGTGGACTATAAAATTCTTTATGGTGGTTTATAACTTTGGATTTTCATACAATTACTCTCAGGGAATGCTCTAGAAAATCGAATATTAAAGAATATTCTGGAAGGATCCTTTTTAAGGACTATAATATAAAATTTCGATTTTTATAGAATTTTCCCTCTTTATAGAAATTATTGGATCATTTTTTGAAGCGCCACCTTTTTGAAAATCTAAGACTTTTAGTTGAATGTTTTCGAAGGATTTTTTAAATTTTTTTCTTAATTTCGAATTCCTTCCAAGGACATTCAAATCTTCAATCTTACATTTAAAATTTGTCAAGATATTATAGCAGGGTTTTGGAATAATTCTGTATAGCTTTATTAAATCGAAAATCGTACATAATGTGAGGAATAATTTGAAGGATCTTCAAGGATTTTTAGAGTGGACTTTCTCGTAAGATTTTCGGAAAATCTCAGTGTGATCTTGAATTTGTGAAGACTAATCTTCTAGAAACACTTATTTTCAAGGACTTTTCGAGTTAAATTCGATTTTTGGAAATGAAAAAAACTTTTTGACTATCAGAATTCAAAGGGACTCACAGGACTTTCATCTTTAATTCGGAATATTATTTAAAATTTTCTGAAGGACTAATAGTCCTTAGCAGCATAGACAATTTTCGAAAGCCTTACTTGAAGGGCTGTCAGGTGAATATTTGTACCATTGTTTTTAAAGGATGTAATATATTTAAAAAAATCCTCAGGAATATGATTTCCTTTTGTGTTTTTTAAAGACTCTCAAGCGAAATTCTAAGGATTTAAACCGAACATTTCAAAATTTTTTTTTATTTAAATTAAAAAAAGCAAATATTTTGAAATTTTGTCATATTTTTTTTCAGAATTTCTTGCACTAAACTCGGAGATAAATAGTGAGGAACATATCAATTTCAAAAAAAAAAGTTATTTTAGAAAAACAACACTAATGGGATTAAGCCTGACAATTTTGCAAAACAAAAAACTACGGCGAAATTTACGACCAAAATTTTGGAAAATATATTACTCCAAAATCTTGCCTCATTACATGAAGTTATGAGACTGGGTTTATCCAGAAATGGTATAACTTTTCCCTTCGGTCTGCAAATACAACAGTTCCAGTAACTATAAATCAGAAAGCCAATCACTAATTTTCATTTTTTTATAAAAAAAAATATGAAATTTGTTCGAAAATTAGGTCCTTGTATTTCAATTTTTTAGATTTCCGAAAAATCAATTGAGATTCATATATAATTCTTACTTTCTTTATAAGTTTATATCTTTTAGAAAATCCGTTAAAAAATGTCCATTCTCTTTACTTTTTATTTCATAAAAATTCTAATTTTTTGTTGGCCACTGTTCAACGAGAACAAATTGAAGACATTTTTTTATAATTTTTTTTTTTTTAATTTTTGTCCCAATAATTTTTTTTATCCACATTTATTTCAATTTATTTCAAATATCCTTTTAATGTAATTTTAACTTAATAATTTTTCACTTTTTAACACTTCAGAAAGTTTACAATAATGTTTGGTTTTAAAAATCCAGATTTGAAATTGTTCACATTTGAATTTGTTTTTGTGATCTCTCCCAAGCTTTCAAAAGAAGTTTGCACAATTCGATGCTCACTGTGAATATTTTTTTTTTCGATTCTTGGATATTTTTTCATATTTTCATGATTGTTCCGCAACATATATTTTTTATATCCTTTTTTGATTTTGCACACGCACTCACCTTTTACACTGGAACAAATTTTTGAAAAAATCCAATTTCGTTCGGCACACAATATTTAATTAAATTTCGCACAATTTATATTTTGGCACAGTAATCCTTTTGTTATCCTCTTTCGGTTGTTTCTTTGTTGGCTGGTCAACAAATTCTTATTAGAATTTCGCACTTAATTCTTTTTAACCTTTCGTTGTCGTTTTGTTAGTAGTACTTATTTTGTAAGAATTATTCTTTTCGTTTTTTTTTTCAAATTCAAATTTTCAGTTATTTTTTAAAATTTTTCGTATTTGGGTTTTTTTAATTAAATATTGTTAGTTGTTCACAAATCAAAAAATTTGAAAATTTTTCTCAATATTTTTTGCTTGATTTTTTTTTTTGTTTGATTATTGGTAAAAAATATTTTTTTTATATAAAAAAAAAACTATAGATCTCGATTTGGTGTGTGGCACCAGAGGAGATACAACCGCTTCATTAAATTCAAAGAGACTCGGAGTCATAACTTCTCAACGCTTATTTATATAGCCTACGTTAAGCGGCGATTTTTTTCTCGTTTAGAGAAAAGGCAGTAGCCGCAGCAGCAGTGCTTTTTAACAGCAGCAGCAGCAACAGCAGCCGTATCAAAGTAATTCCCAACGAGAAGCCAGCCAGCCAGCTATCCAGCAGTTGTATGGATGAATGGTGTTAACAGAATGCTGCCGGCCGGATGGATGGATAGTTAAGCCACCACGACGACGGCAGCGGCGACGACGACACTTGCGACTTGCCTCGTCAAAGAAAAAGAAGAAATTCCCAAACAAAAAATAAAGTTAACGTAGACGTAGCTGAGGCGTTAACAGAGAGCCAATGGCCAAGCGTTTGCATGGGCTGCTATGGTTGTTGTTCAAACAGCCAGTCAGCCAGTACAAGAACTATACATAGAAGGAATCAGCCAACCACTGCTGGCTGTTTCAACATCAATGCTGTGAGGGACAAACATACAACAAAACAAACCAAACCAAACAAATGTTACACGGGCTTGCTCCGCAACACACAACCAACCAACAACCTTTTCAGAGAGTGTATCGTCACACAAAATATCTTTTTTTGCCAATAATGACCATCATTATTATCATCATTTACACCACCACATAACGTCATTATAAGCATAGCATCATCCACCCATCCGTATGTTCGTTCGCAAGTTCGTTATTAAGTTGTATTCCTCTAACAAATGATGTTTGTTGGCTCTCTTGCAGATGAAATGCTGCAATTGCTACTCTCAGTTGGTTGCTACGTTTCGTCGTCGATATGTTCGCTTGGAGCCAACGCAATTGCCACACAAACATTATTCAAACACTTGATACATGTTCGATTCAAACTCATTGGATACAACATCATTATTATGTTGTTTGTGTGGTTTGGTACTGTGGTATCGTTTTTAACATTAAAAGAAATAATTTAATGTAAAAATACAAATTATTTAATTTAAAAGTAAGTGAAAAATAAAAGGGAGTGAAATTGGAGGGACCTTGTAAAGTATAATGTAAAGAGATCGTATTTGAATCCTATTAAAATCGTTCAAGACAACATTCGAAAATCTTGGAGAACAATAAACATGAGCGATGTGTTACTTATATTTTGAGTTCTAAACACTTTATTCCTTTACATGATCGCATTCAGAAATAATTGTATATCTATTGAAGTACCTATATATTATACCCTCAGTCATAAGCGTACAGAGGGTATATCTCATTTGATAAGGCCAAAATGTGCCTCATCGAATTAACGGTTTTAGACCCTAGGTCTCTTTGAACTGGTATGAAGAACGGATAGAACAGGCCACTACAGGAACAGTTATGAAGAACGGATATAACAGGCCACCTGGTACCTCCAAAATTTTGGATACACATGAAGCTCATAAAACGCCAATTGATCATACGATTACGAAATAAGCTTCCGATTCTCTTCAAATTTCACATATAATGTGAAGATGGGATATATCACCGCAAAACCTTCCCACACAACGGGCAAGCATTTGAAATAAGTATGAAGTTCATAAAACGCGAATTAAGCAACCGACTCCTTTAAAAGTTGGCACACTCCAATATTTCTACTAATACAATATTGATATCGATATATGTGATAATCGAACCACCGCTTTTGGTACCTCCCCACAAGGGGTCAACATTTTGAATAACTATATGATCATAAAATGCGAATTTAGAGTTCAATTCTCTTGAAATTTTACACATCCCATTATAAAATCCTCAACTTAATATACCCTCCATATATTAAGTTTGTCATTCCGTTTGTAACCCCTCGAAATACACATTTTAGACCCCACAAAGTATATATATTCTTGATCAGCAGTTTAGCGATGTCCGTATGTGTTGTTACTGTGGAAATCACTCTAGCTTCCGAACGAATTGAAGTAGATTGATAAAATTTTACTCAAATATATGTTATGTCTGCAGAACTTTTGGTATTGATATAACGTAACGTAACATATAACGGTACCTCTCGATATTCGGTATTTTAATGATTTTAGCGGCATTATTTACCGAATTTTTTCATTCAAGTTTCGCATTTGAGTATTGTAATGGCTTACAACAATAGTTACTTATACAGGTCCACGTCGTCGTATAGACCCTAATATAACGGCTACATTCAGTATTTTTAAGATTTTAACAGAATTTTAACCGATTTTTATTTAATTATTTTGAAAATTGTCAAAATCGTTCCAAATGGTGGAGGGTATTTAAAGATCGGCCAGGCTGAACTTAGAGCTTTGTTACTTGTTTTTACTTAAGGAATATCAGGTGTGAAGATGGAATATATAGGACCACTCCTTCTGGTATCTCCTCCACAAATGGGTCAAAATTTTGAATAACCACGAAGCTCATAAAAAGCGAAATAAGCATCGGATTGCTTTCAAATTCGGCACATCGCAATGTTTCTATTAATATTAGATATTGTATAAAGATGGAATACATCGACCCACCCTTTCTGGTACCTCCCTCACAGTATAAGTATAAGTATCTCATTCTTTCTCACACACATTCCAATATTTCTAGAGACACATGACTTGCTGTGAATATGGAATAAATCGCTCTACTCCTTCTGGTACCTCCTCAGAAAGGGTCAACAATTTGAATAACCATAACGCTCGTAATTCAATTTTCTAGGAAAGAATATTAGGAAAATGTTTACCTTTTACACTAAAATACCTATAAAATCCTCTATTTTGAAGTTTACCGAGGAGTTAAACCGTTGCACAATAAAATATAGGACACATTTTCAAAGGACACATTTTCAAACCACCGCCAAATTTCAACCTCAGACACCAACAGTAATCCCAATTTCAAATTTCAGGATTTCAGCCCTATCCCTTTACCCAATGCGAAATTTAGTACCATTTAATACCTTACGTACAATTATAGTACAGATTTCCAAAACCACCCCCAAATCTTAATCACATACACCAATGGTGACATCCATATTAAATTTAAAGATTTCAGCTCCATTCCTTCACTCAATATCAACTATAGGACTATTAGGTACAATTTGTATAATTTACACACTATCCATTTACATATCTTAACGACAGACACCAACAGTGGCATGTATATACAATTACAGAGTTTTATCTCTATTAAATAAATTGTATCAAATGAGGTACTATTTAGTACTTTTGTGCACTTGTGGTACACATTTCCAAAACCACATTTTTATCACAAATATATCACCAATTCAAAATTTTCAATATTTCAGTTTCATCCGTTCAGCCTAAACCAAACTGTTCCAAATTCAGTACCATCTGGTACAGTTCGCACACTATCTACACATTTTCAGAACCACCTTCATATATCAAACTTACTTTCCACCTACCTAGATTCTCATAATATATTCTAGATTCTCATACTATAATTCTAGCACATTCAAAGTATTCATTTTAGTACGAATTTCCCAAAACCCAGCCTTATCACGCGCCTACCCATCAAGACTGAACCTTGTGCAAAATTTAAGATTCCAGCTTCAGGCATTTCATCTGACTTCATAACTTTGGTTTTTCACCTAAGACCCGAGACAAATTCATTTTTATTATATGTGCCTATCGAGATAGATAACTCAACTCGCTTCACATTGGGCGCCATCTAAGCTATGTGTTTGTGTTAGTAAAAATTCAGAGTTATTTCTTTTCCCGTTTTACAAATTCCAATGATACAAAATTTTCGTACACTAATAGTACGAGAGACAAGCTTTTTCATATAAATACTAAAAAAAATCTAACAAATCTATCATTACATTTAAGATTGGAATTTCATGAAAATGCTCATATGATAGAGACAGTTAACAGTCAGAGAAACTTTGGGTTGTCAAACACACAGTATCTCTCTCCTTTGGGGTTTTCAAGTGAGGATCAGGCAGGCATTATTGATAAAAAAAGGACTCAATAAAATATAACTTAACTTAACTTGAATTAATTTTTATCCCCCTTAGTTTAAATTTTCGAATAACATTATTGTACTCCATTATATTCACCTTAGACAAATGCATAACTCGTACTTTTTGGTGCATTAATACCATATATTACTAAAGAATAAGTATCCGATTCGGTCCAAACTTGGTACATCGTAATTTTATTATCAAACTTAGATCGAGTTCGAAGATGGGCAATATCGGCCCACTCCTTCTGGTACCGCCTCCACAAAAGGTAAACATTTTAAAAAATAATATATTTTACTGCACAGAAAAAGAAAAGTATAATCCGATTTTGCTCCAACGAAAATTTTAATATTAGCATCAGTGCTAGGCCAAGTGCGAAATATCGGTTCACTCAAGCACCTCTCCCACAAATGGTAAAACATTTTGAATAATTCTAACTCTTGTAAAATTTGATGACGGAGTCCAATTGTCTTTAAATTACACACATCACAATATTTTTATTAGCCCATGGTGTAGATGAAATATATCGGTTCACTTTTTCTGGTACCTCTCCCACAAAGGGTCAATGTTTTGAATAACCGAAACGATCATGAAACCCGAAATAAGCATCCGATTCCCTTCATATTTCACACATCCCATTATTCTACTAACACTAGATATGTCGTGAAGATGGAATATATCGGTCCACTCCTTCTAGTACCTCCCCCACAAAGGATCTACATTTTTAATATCCATGAAGCTTTTAAAACGCGAAATTAGCATGCGATGCCATTCAGACTTCGTACATCTCAATATTTCTATCCACACAAGATTTGTTATAAAGATGGTAGAGATCGGAACATTTCTTCTAGTACGTCCCCCCAGATTTGAAAAACCTAACGCTCAAAGAAAGCGACATAAGCATCCAACTCTCTTCATATTTCTCACATTCAAACATTTTTGCTAACAGAAGATCTGATGTATAGATGGTAAAGATATATCTGCAAACCCCTTCTGGTACCTCACCCAAAAAAATCACAATTTTCAATACTTTTATCTATCATAACTTGCGAAGCAAGTCAGCGATTCTCCACAACTTGCTATATCTAAATATTTCTTTCAACAAGAATCCTGGGATGAAT